GCAATAAGATTTTCATGTCATTGTTGAAAAATTCAACCCTCTTGAATAAAAGTTGTTACTTTTTCCTTCCAGAGTCACAAGAAAGCCAAAAAGATGACTTCTGCAGAACAATTGCTTATTTCAAACACAATTTTCCATCACAAGAATCATTACAAATTTAAACGTTCAAATGTCTAATCATGTAATTCTCTCATGTTTCTTTCACTTTATAATATTGCCATTTCATCAGAGGAAGGGAGAGAGAGAAGAAATGAGACTTTATGGATAAAAAAGTAAAGTTTACGAAGTATGTTATTCCACATTGCAAGCCAAGTAGAATAAAATGGATAGATTTTTAAGGGTCTAAAAAATAATAATAATTGCAATATAATGAACTTCAACCTGCCATCACATACTCATTGAGATGTTCATATAAAGTCTCTATAAAGTCGTACACAGAGGCTTTACATGCATGCTAGTCTCTCACGCTCAGAAAGAGGACATACAGAAGTGCGCGCAGTCAAAACAAATGCACAACCCACGGCGCAGAGTAACAGATACACCGACTACACTTGTGGCAGCAGGAAATCATCTAATGATATAAATAAACAAAATGAACTGTTAAAGGAGTATCAAAATACATAATAGTTGACAGAATAAAGACAAACATAAATGTTCCTAAGAGTATTGCAATACGCAAATGCAATCAACTATAGAAGTAACAAAAAGCTATTCCAAAAAAATTTTAAAAATGGTTTCTGCTTTCAGCAGGATGGCTCAAGATAGAATTCTGCAAGTTTCAAACGCCAGAAAAAGAGAATAATTTTATGGCCTGCCAATCATGAAGGCCATTGCTGTAAAATTTTCTTGCAGAGTTAAGGACTACTATGATGCAATGAGTGTCTGTTGTTAGCACAGATAAAGATTAAGGAAAAGAAATTCCCAATGGTAAATTCTCCATCTATAACGTTTATTAGAACTCTTCTGAGAAGGATACAAACAACTGTAGCCTTAGGCCTGAAAATTGGAAATGTAAGCTTTATTCACAAAGTTAATAAATTGAACAAACAAACTATAGAGTCAGTTGAAGGAGAAAACTGACCATTTTGAGACAGCTAGATTCTTACAATGTCAATGTGTTTATACTCTACCATGTCAGACCCTGGAAATAATCAGTCCAAAGGCCTATATACAAACTAATCAACTTAATCCAAAAATTCCAATGACTTACTATTTATGTACTTCACAGTTGTCACAAAAAACAGTGTGGTCAACATCATTATCAGAGTGGACCCTGCAACAGCATCAACTCAAAGTCCCTTGTAACCTAAACTTCCCTTCCCAACAAATATTGCAACAATATTATCGTTCATTCTTCTAATGCACGAAAGCAAACCTTCTCAAGTTGCATCGGCCACTCTTCCCCTAGAATCTGAGGGTTTAGTTCCATTGCAAGCTGAAAATCTAACATAGACACTGAAATGGGCCCACTTGGTCTTTGTAAACATCTCACAGGCCACAACCCATTCAATCGAGATACAGTATGACAATGTCCTTGGCCAGTAAATTTCTTGCCAGATCTTGAACCAGCTAAATCCATACATGGCTTTATCAATCTCTTCAAGTAAACATCCAGGCTGTTATTTAACAAATTGGCACAATCAACAGAGACTTTTACTCCCTCCATCTCCAATTTCTTCTCTAACCTCTTCCTTAAAGAGTTGGTATCCGGTAATCCAAAATTATTTTGGCATGTCTCCATATGATAAGAAGATGCCGGCCGATTACAAAGCACTTTTCGTGCTCCTTTTGTGTTCAATAGGATGCCAAGAGGAGCTCTAACAGGGCTCCTACTATAAATGCTAGGACTTCCAGCAGCTTGATCAACCTCTTCTCCATCTTCCACAGAGCCTGGGGGTCTGCTGCCAAGAGAAAACAGTTCTGTAGCACTCTGTTGTTCTTGATTTTTAGGGACTAAATCTTCAAATGCAATATTGTGACTCTTTCCATGAGGGCCAAGAGGGCTAGGACGATCCCTAAACTTGCGTTCACTAAGAACTGACCTCCCCTTACGAGGGGATTGGAGAAAATCTCTACAGAGGGACTGAATACTACTTTTCTGATACCCATTGGACACTTTTACACCTAAACCACTTTCAGCTTTGCACTCCTTTGGTGGGGGCATCTTCGAGAGATGTGCATTTTTTATAATTGATCTGAGCAGATGATTATGAAGGCGCATGTTTTCCCTCCCTATTGTACCAATGAAGAGTCTATCAAAGTCAGATTTGCTAATTTTAAGAGATAAAAACTTTGTGAGGAGATCAAAGTATTTCTGTGCTTTTAGATGCCCAAGCTTCCTCTCAATCTGCAATTTTATTTCTACTGTATCTATCCGGGAAAAATGCCGAGCTGCAGCCATTTTAGTCTGAAATCTCCTCACTATATCAATCATCAAAATAAAATATTCCAGTTACACAACTCATTACAACAAAAATTGCATGAAAGCTAGTTTCCCAATTAAATAGATAAAAATGAAAAAAATTGTTAGTTTAATTATAATCCAAGACCCTCAATCCATTTGTTTCTAGCAATTCACTACCGCCAAGCAAAGTCAACAGTAGAAGATTAACTAAATTCTAAAACAAAAGAAACAACACCCGTATAGAAATTAATATCCAAACGCGATTTTTAACTTCATTTTGATAATTAATCCTTCAATTCAATCATTTATACACTAAATCAAAAGTCAAGCATCGAATACGAAATCTTCACCACCCAACTTGGCTTTCACATAAAACAAGCAAAGAAAACAACATAACTCGACAAGAATCAAACTTTCCAAAGATATAATGGTAAAATCCAGCTCCACGGAACAACCTACCAAAATTTTCCCGAGAAAAGAAAAAATAGAAAAAAAAACCCAGAAACCCAGCAGAGCAATTCAGACATTAAAAGAAGAAAGCAAATAAATGAAGTAAAGAAGAAGACAAAAGCGAACCTGAATTGAAGAAGTACGCAATTGAATTGAATTTCCTTAAGCCTTCACTGTAGTATTGAATGCAATTCGATGATCAGTAGCTACTTTTTTCGACAAGAGAGATTAGGGCTAGTAAGGAGCGAAAGAAGGAAGGAAACAACGAGGCTTTTCGAAGCTTCTTATTAAGTCATCCGAGTCAATGTGCACGTGCGTTTTGACAAGTGTTAAGAGCTGTTTTGGTGCTTTTTTTTTCTTTGTTTTTCAAAGTTTTGTAAAAATAAAAATAAATAAATATAATATAATATTATACACCTGAAGTCACTGAGTCACTCACTCACATATCCATTTTCTGTTCCCGGAAAGTGAGAGAAAATTATTGGGTCACAACGTGTCTAAAAGTGACATGGACTGCATGTCCGTTGGTTTAACACCTAAATACTAGTCAAATTTTATTCGAAAATGGCTTTTTTGGAAGTGATTGATAGATCATTAACGGGAATGGAAGCATTATTTTTTTATTTAGAAATAAATTATTCCTTCCCATTCCAATTCAACGGTAATAAATACTCATTTTACTTTATTTCATTTTAAACATTCATTTAAGATTTTAAAATTATATTAATTATTATTTTTTCAACTTTACTCATATTAATTAAGTCTGATTTGTTTTTATATTTATATTCAAGAAGAGCAATTTAGACATTATATTACATTCTTTTAGAAAATCAATAAATTTCAGTCATTTTCTTAATCCATGTGAATATAGCAAATATTGCTATTATTAAATTGAGATGTAAGGAGTATTATTCTTTATATTAAAAACATATAAGTCTTATTACCAAATCAATATGTGCAAAAATATTACGGAAATGTCTATATATTCTAAAACCGTGTCAATCAAGTGTACTATAATTAATCTTCTCACTCTCTATTAAATGAGATTCGAGATGATGTCAATTAAATATGATAACAGTAAAAATATATTAATATTTATAAAAAATAATAAAAGTACAAAAAAACAAGAAAAACATTTTTTTTAATAAAAAAGGAAAGCTAAGCTTCAAGAGACATACAAGCATAAAAGAGAGTCAAGGATATATATATAAGAAAGATATATTTTTTAAAGAAAAATCAACCAAAATAAGAAATAAAAGATTAATAAAAAAATAAAGAAAGAAAACGACTAAAGTTTTTCCAACAAATAATATAATTTACATGTTAATTATTATAATTAGTTTAATTATAAAATTATAAAATCAACTGATCGCTGATCTTTGCAGAACCCTAATCTTCCTTTTACCTATAATCAAATTGATTCACTGGAAGAAAAAATGAGGCAAATTTGGTAGTTCTAAGTAATAACCCCAAAATCAAGGCTCAAAAACTTGATTCATTAAACCATGGCAATTCAACAAAGTCTATGCATGCTCTTCTTAACACTTTCTAGGCAACCAAACAGGAAAAAAAGGTGTTACCTGGGCGAGTAATGCAGTGACTTCTCCAAGCAACCGTGATTCCATTTTACTTTTTTTATTTCTCATAATTTTCCCTCATTTCTTTCTATCCTTTTCTGTCAATCGTTGAAACTCGATCCAAATTAATTTATAAATTAAGCAGCCAAGATCACAACTTAGCTATTTGTATGATATCTTATTTTCAGACTGGAGTCTCAAGGATAATCCTTTGAGACAAAAGCTTCCCTCCAATTTGGAGATGAAAAGTTATAAAAATTCGACAGTGAAGAGATTATTTTGCTATATTTATGCATTACAACTTACAAGTTACAGTGGATGCATGATTACTGCCCATTCATGAAAAGAATATATTTTATTGACGAATGAGTAAATATAATTAAAAGAGGAAAAAAATAGCCCGCAAATGAATTTTACCTGCAACATGTAAGAATTTAAAATTTAGAGTTGCTATTATAGAGAGAGCTTTAACTGAATACCGTCCAGCAGGCCCCAGCATAAATATACATATGCAAAATATTGTAGCTGAATTAATTACCCTAGAGAAACAAAAATCGAAGCCGTTGTTTTCTGGGTCCTGAATTAATTTCTTTTATCAGTGCAGGTTTCAAGCATTTCATTGGCTTCTGTGTTATGACTATATATTGTTGGTTAAAGCACTACAATGAACATATTCTTCTCGAACTCCTTTTTAGGATTTTTAGTAAGTTTTATTTAAAAAAAAAAAAAAAAAAAAAAATGTTATGACTATATTATTGTTGGTTAAGCCCACTTACAATGAACATATTCTTCTACGAACTCCCTTTAGATTTTAGTAAAGTTCGTATTTAAAAAAAAAAAAAAAAAAAAAAAAGTAATTACTAAATTAGATATCCAGTTTATACCTCCCCTCTAGACAAGAATTGTAAGCAAAACTTTAATAAAAATTCCACGGCAATTAATAAACCCAAATAATATTAAGTCAAAACAATAAAATATAAAGGAGAAAAAGAAGAAGAAGAAGGGCAAATCTCATTAACATCATCCAAGACAATAAACTAGCGCAGAACCCACTCTGAAATCTCAATAACGTTGCCAAATTAAGTTGGAAATTAACTTAAATAAACCCCAAAAGAATTTAAAATAAGAAAAAGGTTGAATAAAAAGATCAATTAAGCAGAAGCCAAAGGCAGTAGCAAATAACTACATTATGTAAAAAAAAAAAAAAAAAAAAAGAATTCTAATTAGTAAGTTTTGACTCTCTAATACAAGATTTGTGCAAAACTTATAAAATTAGGAATTTAAACCCTAATTGAAGTCAAACTAATTTAAAGGAGAGAAGAAGAAGAAGAAGGCAATCTATTAACATATCCAGACAGATAAACTAGGAGAAACCCACTCTGAAATCTCAATAACGGTTGCCAAATTAAGTTGGAAATTAACTAATAAACCCAAAAGAATTAAAATAAGAAAAAGTTGAATAAAAAGATAATTAAGCAGAAAGCCAAGCAGTAGCAAATACTACATTATGTCCTTTCCAAGTAAGTACAAGGTCTTCTTCTTCTTTCTTTAATCCCCAACCTGCTGCATGTTCAGCAAGCATCGTTTTAACTTCAGAAACTGCATCTTCTCCAAAAGAAACACTTGTAAAATTTGCATTTCTCATTCTTTGAACCCATTTGTTCTTTGGCTCGATCCTTTCTACTCTTCGCAGCCCTTCATAAGCTATCACATTCTCAATCTTCCAACAAATATCAGCTTCATACCATTGCCTTTGCTTACTTCCTCTTGGAAGAAAAGTGTCCACAGTATCATATGGAATCCATAAATAATTAAAAGCTGACCTCAATCTACAAACTAAATTATTCGAAGTAAGATCTGCATCTTCATCTACTAAAACAACAATTGTTGGGTCTAAACTTCGAAGTGATTTAAGAAACATTGTTCGAAAAGAAGAAGCTGAGGTAGAGTCGAAAGGGTAAATATTAGAGTTGTTCATAATAATACCAGAAGAAAGGGTTTCTTCGGGAATGTAATGAAGTAACATATGACAGTTAATAACAAGTGCTTCGTTATAACTTTCTGCGTACACCAAATTCTGCATTACTCGAAGCTGTTCGATTAAAGTAGAAAATCCATCAGAATAACTCGAAGGAACAACTCGAAATTCCAAAATTACGTTTCGGGACCTAGCGAAATTTATCAACTTAGAGCCTAACTCTTGATAAGAAAGATCAAGCATAGGAGGAAATATAATATCTTCATCAATAGGACTAACAACAGTAAGCTTTATCAATGGAGTAACCTCGAAACGACTAGAAATAGCATCGATAAGAGTAGGGATTTGCATGCAATGAGTTAAGCTTAAATCTACAATATGAACAACTGAAAACCCTTCAATAGCTTCTAAAATAGCAGCATTAGCAGCAGTGAAACCGAAACGATGCCATGGAGTTAAATCAACAAAACCAGCAAGTTCAATAACAGAAAATTTATGGGTATTTATAGAAAGATTATTGCAATGAGCATTAGCCATAGCAGCAAGAAGTTTACAAGTACCACTTTTAGCAGCACGTGCAATAAGAGCTTTAAGGAAAGCACAAGTGAGCCTTTGATTAGAGTCACCTTCAGGAGAAGCAATGTTGTTTAAGACCCATAGAATTTGTTGAGCTAAAGTAGCATCATTGCTTTGAATTGCGTTTGCGCAATGAACTAAAAGCTGTTCCATGCAATTTGCGTCTCCTAAACTGCTTAAAGATTTGGAAGAAGGGAAACCAGCTGGCCATGGACGAGCTCTTTGGGTTTGATTTTTGTTCATTGTAGAGATTTGGTGCAAAGGAGGTGGTGGAGTTTCAGTAAATTGCATCATTGACAAAGAAAGACAGAAAGAAAGTAAGAAAGAAAGGGAGCAAAAAGGACAGATAAAATGAAAATCAGAAATCTGAAAAGAGCAGAAAAGATGGAAAAAGACCAGACTAATAGTAGTGGGTACCTTAAATTTTCCTCTTTTTTGGGTATTGGGAACGGAATCAATATAGACAGACTGGAAGAATTCTGTAAATGAATCTAAAGAAATAGACAGTTCAGCTTTATTTGGGGATTATATTGAATAGGGAAAAAGGACTGATCAATAGAAGAAATAAAACCCTCATCCCAAAAACTTTTAGTTCAAGTCAAAATTTTGGGCAAAAAATTAAATAGAGGCTATTCCTTTGATCAAGAACAGCCCTTTTTCAGTATTATCGAGATGTATTGAAGAAGGCACCAATTCAAGAAACCTTTCTTGGGCATGAAAAGGTTAATTCTTTTTCTTGATTTCTCTCTTTGAGCTCAGGAAGCAAGAGAGAGAAGAAAAACGATGAGGAAATATAAAGGAGAGAATGAAAGGAGGGTAGGCTAATTCCTGTTGATTTTTGGTGGCATGTGAAGTAGCCGGCCAGGGTCTTGTCTTTATGTGGGAGTTGTGATTTCGTCATGTAATGAGAGTGGTGGGGATACTTGTTAGAAAGATCACTCACTCACGGGACACCCATTATAATATTTGTATACTTCCCATCATCAACAAATCATTTTCTGCATTTTAACTTTTTTCTTGATACCCTAAATTAATTTTCAGGGTTTTCTAAATTCACAATCTATCATCATGAAATAACTTAATTCACTAATTTTGAATAGGAAGGTACCATAAAAATGACTTATAGCAGACAAAATTCTGTCATTTTCCAAATCCTACAACGACAATCATTCTCTTATCAAGTGATTTCATTTCCCTCCCTCTCTTAATTAACTAATTATATAACCAAGAGCTCTCTCTATCATCACCTCATGTTTCATATGCTTTCTACAACAAAGCCAAAGCCTCCTCCATAAATAACAAGCTATAGCATCTACGTGTAAGCCTAAAAATGAGACAAAACAGTATTTATATATACAATAATACAAACATAAACAAATATATTAGTCGCTATTATTCCTAGTCCTAGCTACTAACAATGGTTACACTCAAACAAAGACACCAAGAGTCTGCGACTGCGAGCATAGAAAAATATATACATATATATCAATATTTCTATGCTCCTTTCGTTTTCCCAAGCCATTCCAACGCCATAGGTTAGACAGTACAGCACGTCTTTTTGAGCTAAATTTTGGCTTATCTGAAAATTTATACTCATCTCCACCCACAAAATTCCATGTGGCGAAGTCAATATGATACTATAATAAACATTCTCCATTGTTCTCTTTTCTCTCTCTCTCTCTCTCTCTCTTTCTTCTAAATTAGTGAAGATGGATCTTATCCAGGACCAGTTTGAGATATCATTTCTGTACGTATATGAATAACAGGGCATATTTATAAGGATTATATTGGGTAAATACATATGTTTTGAATTAAGGAGTATATATACACACACAAATATATTCCTTAGTTGTGGAATGGGATTTTATTCCTGCACTGCACCTTTACACGTGATATGTATAGCACCTTTTTGTTCCCTTGCAACAGTACTAAACCTTTTTCTCCCAACCCTCTAGCCCCACTCTGAAATAGACCATTCAACCATGCCCTCCAGTCAGGGGGACACCCCATTTTTTGGCCTTCTAATTAACATAACTAATTACTATTATTTATGGATATTATACAGAAGTTGATTCATTATATTACTAAATGCACAAACTTAATTAAGTTTTGGCAAATTAACATTAACTGAAATATTAGTAGCATATATTATCCCTAGAGATATTACTGGTAAATGATTGTGTTGTCACATCTTAGTAACCGTACTTCTGATAACTTTATGAAATGCTTCATGTGATTTCCAAGCTGTGGTAGCCCTTCTAGGGCCATATACAAATCTTTCCTTAGCCATTATATAACAGATATACGATTTTACAGTTGACACCAACAAAACCCTAATTATATACATATACATAAAAAATAAAAGAAAGAAGAGATTTACACAGGCTGTGGCTCTCACAACCTGTCTATATTAACAATTACATTCCTGGCATGATAACAGCAATACCACAACTGCTAAAAGTTTTTCAAGGCCATTACACTCTTTTCATCCCGTTTACACTCTCTGGCTGTGCATGACACAAGTTGTGCCGAAAATGTTTTTTCAAAGAAAGAAAAAGAAAAAGCTTGCTCCATGTTGGTCCTTAGCAAATTATATTTATCAGTATGGTAAAATTTAAAAGCCTCTTATTGTTAGAGAACTAGAGAAAAGCTGACTCAGTTTTTTCACTCTCGTTAGCCCTTATTTTGTTCACAAAATCAATTAAATATTAAAATATAAACTAATGTTGATTATCTGTCTGAGAGGACATTGATGAAATAATTAAATGTATGCAGTAATATATAGGTAAAGAAGAGTATGAGAAGAAGAATCAAGAATCTAAGAAAAGCACATAAGGAGAAACATATAAGTTAAGGTTGTATGGTTTTAATAAATGAAACTTTATAATTTTGAGGAGGATTCCTAAACTTTTTAGATACAACAACTAAATGACACACAAAGCTAAATTAAAAAGGAAAAAGAAAAGATTTCAAGAAAGTTTTGGAATTTTTCTGAAGGGAATTCTTGGGCACCAACACCAATGGCCTTTGGGTTTTCATTCATTAAGACAAGATATAAAACAAAGCACATGAAAGTAAGGAATTAGCAAGTAACCATGTGCTTAAAGATACCCATCGATATGATTATTGATAAGGAATTATATAATTTGTTTTTATTTGGATTATAAAGTAATTATGAACTATAATTAGAACACTTGGAGCAGTATTATATATGTTTGTTTAAAGTTTAAACAGTAGAGAACTTGCCTAAAACATATGGAGGACAAAAGAAAGAAGACATTGGCTTCGAATGTTGAGCTATAGAAAAAAGGGAAATGCCTTTTTCATGCACATTGATTTATCAGAATTACTTATTTTGGTGACTTCTCGTGGATTTAAGCCAGATGAATCCACCCAATCATTACTAAGAGTGACCTACCTACCTAGCTAGCTACCTTATTGTATGAGATTTATTTTTTTAAAAAAAATAATAAACTAAATAGCTAACAACTGCACTAATATTTATTAAAGAACTAACCAAAGAGTGTTGAAATGAGTGGTTCGACACTCTTCTCCTTAAGTAAGGTTGAGGTTCGATCCTAATAAATGGAGTAAATAAGAGCATTTTACCTTTTAACAGGCCAATCAACATTTAGTTGAAGTATCACTTAAAATTATTTGAGCAATAATATCCTAGTAGTTACTGAGTTGCTGATGATACACTCGCTTTACAGTTAACTTCATCCACTGGACGGCTTCTTTAAGGACCACTCGCTGTCTCTTCTCCACTCGTTAAGAATTGGACCCCTTGGCCCAACACCTGAGTCCCAACTTACTGTTCTATTATGTTTTTTTGCCAATTGCTTCGAATTTTCATCAACTTGAATAATGGATATGTTTATTATTATTGCGTGTTTTATATTTTTATTAAACACTGTTCATTAATTTATAAAATTCACATCTATAAAAATAAATTTCAGATTTACAATTTTTGTTCCTATCTAGCCACGAAGCCAAGACCATGGGATAAGATTTTTGATGTGGTAATTTGTATTTAATGCACATTGGGGTTGCTCTCCACTCCCGGCGATGAATGTATTAAATACTACGTCGTTTGCATCTTTGAATTATCTTCTGTATAATGGGCCTGTTGCTGCCTGTAGTTGGTTTGTTGGGCATATTTGGGCCTTTCTTTTATTTTTCCTCTGCCAATATTTGTCACTCTTGAAGCCCATTGTTTGTGTAATCTGATTATAATAATGATTTTTGTAATATCATAAAAAGAAAAGGATATCAAATAAAACCAAATAATAATTAAGCTACAAGACATTTGTTTATTTATTTATTTTTCTTCATACGGGAAAAATACATCTGATGTGAAAATAAACTACAAATCGATCATCATGTCCTTGGGATGTTCGATTGCTTGAATATAAAAATTTAACACTATGCAAACTTTAAAATGTCTGAAACAATATAATACATTAAAAAAAAAAAATAGTACATTCTCATAATTGAGTCATTTTTATTAATAGATAGAATGGTTTAGTTTTTTGTTCTTTTATAAAAAAAATCAAATACAAGGTACAGGAAAAGGTTGGAGAATAAGAAAATTAAAAAAAGAGGCAACCACCTCGTGCTCAATCTGAAATTTGAATTATATCGAATTCATGATGCTCTCCGCCTGCAAATCGCATACCCAAGAAGATGGACCTTAACCATGGGAGCATTATGGCAAATATCAGTTTTTGTAGGTCCCCCTCATGGTTCATGCACCCACCATTTTATTCCCTTCTCTACCTTCTAGAAGAGAAAGGGAAAATATTATTTTTCTCTTTTTTTATAAATCAATTTAAAGTTTTATAATTATCACATAATAAATAGAATAATCTTTCAAATCAGAATTTCATATAGTCTCTATATTGATTTTGTAATTTTTCCATTTGTCCTATCAAACTCAGTATTTTATTTTATGATGCCACTAAGACAATGTTTTTAAATTACTTCATAAATTTAACAATAAAATTATATTTCAATTAAAGAATTGGTACATATTTTTTAAGATATTAAAATGAAAAATCAGTACAATTTTTTTTTTAATGAGAATAAAAAAATTTTATTAAAAGAAATAAAAAGTTAATTAAATTATTTTTTATTCAATAATTAAATTAAAATTTCAGTACTAAATAAAAACTTATCTTAATAGAAGCATTATAGACAGGGATTGGTTTTGGGCTGCCAGATGCAGAGTAGGCCGTGACTAGGATGGAGGGGACATGTTCACGTGGGATAAAACATTCTCTGACGTCAGCTTGTCCAAGGGTTCAGGAGTACCATCTTAACAACCCGTGCCTTGCTTTTCGGTCAACGATGCCGGCGCCTGCGCTTCTTGGACCTAAAGCCCATACTCTGTTTTTTTTTTTTGCAAAAATAAAAATATATCGAGATATTAGTTAAGGGAAATTAGTGTCTATGTCATTAATTAGAATGCGTCACTTTCATAGCAGGGAAATGGAATGCCAAGAGTAAAAATTATTATGTGGGAGACCAACTACCTACTCTCGGTATATCGACGTACTCATATATTAAAATAATAAATACAATTTTTAGTTAAATAAATATATTCTTATTATAATAAAATTACACAAAATCAAAAGAAGGTATTATATTTCTTTTTTTTTTTTTTTTCTCAGTGAATGGTATTTCTTACCATATTTAGGTTTAAAAGAAAGTTTTTCTTACTATCAAGAAAAAGAGAGTTATAGAGGATTGTGAAGAAAATTGGAGTCAGTTTTAATGTATTTTTAATTAGTTTGG